ACCTGATCTCGTGTAACAATTGCGGAGATGAATATATTGGCGAAACGGGCAGACCTTTGTGTATCCGTATAAAAGAACACCTAGATGGCAAACGAAAACTAAGACGAAGCACCCCACTAGGCACGCATAGGATACAAAAGCATAGCGGAGACGATTTTGAAGTGAAAGTCAATATCCTTGCACAGGAGTCCAAAACACCAGCGCGAAAACTCCTTGAGGCTTTTTGGATCAATGCCAAAAGCCCTACAATGAATAGCAGGGACGAATGCCCGGAGATCATACGCGACCTGATCTCGTACGTTCGCATCGATTTTTGATGTGGGATGGTGCAGTCGTCAACCACATGCGACTATAATCAGCTGTTCTAAACTTCCTCATTGGAAGTCACGAAAAAAGCGGTGGGTTTTTCGAGAAGTTGTTGATTATGTAATTGCCAGAGAGTTCTTCGTCTTCTTGTAAGTGTTATTGAAGCGTTTGGCCTAGTAGATTGTATATCAGTATACCCTTCCAGGCTCTGAAGAAGGCGATACTGCCGAAACGTCAGCTAGCGTTGTATTGTATTGTGTTTTTATGGAAGTAAATGTATGCTGTTTAAAAACCTCGCGATTGCTGAACAAGAAAACGACACAAAAAAAACTCGATCAAATACTATAAGCAGCTCGTCTAAGGATTTAAAACTTGTGCCCAATAGTCCTCAGTTTATCAACGCTTATATTCAGATGACCTTTCCGTCTGTTCAATTACACAAGTAGTGAAGGAAACCGGAAGAGTCCTAACTGCGACACACCTAACACTAGTCATATTAAATACTTTAAGAAAAGTAACGTTAATAAGTTCCTGTCTTTGGTCGAAATTTATACCAGATTAAACCGACTTCTTCTGAAATGGAAGTTAGGAACTGCGTTCATCTCATACAACAACATATCTTTAAAGGAAAAAAAAATGACCGAAATGCAGGCCTTCGTGGAAGTTAGTGCTGCGTTAGAAGGGTGAGCGAATGAATTGCCATAAATAACCAACCTTTTTTTAGTATGTTCTACAACTTTATCACTTTATGCTATTCCATAGAACACATCAATAATTTACGGTGAAGTTGAAAATTTGAATAGATAGGATTCGTACATGAACTTTGGCGTAAAAGTTTTATTCATTCCGCATCTAAGAAAACACAACTCTAAGGTGTAGTATCTGAGCTTTGTTCTAACCTTTGTTTATGACCAAAAATCATCAAAACGGATACTGCCCTATCAGTTACCAACAAAAGACTTCTTGACGAGTGTCATCGTACAACGACAATACAGGCTTTGCATCCGGCAGTCCATAGGAGAACAAGGACGACACGTACACGCTATTTCGACAAATACTCACCATAACATTTCGATAAATAACGAACCTGCTAGATTTTAATGAAACGACTGTGTAGTTACAGCGAATTTTTGTCAAATTTTCGCCTCACTAACATCATCTTCCGGAGCAAGAAAAACCAATTAGCAACGAAGTTTAAGCAATTCGAAAAAAAAGTCCTCCGAAAGATAAAACTGAGGATAAACTGAAGGATCCAGATCAGTAAGAACCCATCATGCGGTGATGAGAAAAAATGAATGGATGGCAAACATGAAAAGAGAACAAGCACATC